TCACACCCTATTTGTGGGAGAGCCTCATTTGGCTAGGCTCTCTACACACAGAAGGACATGATCTCTGCCTCAATGCCTCACATTCTAATTCCCGAGGCAACAAAGGATCATATCTAGCAGTGTGGCTTATGAAGAAAATGTGGGTAGCAATGCTGAGAATAGGCACCTGGGCTAGCTATGAATAGAGCATCCTGAGTCTGAATTCTCAGACATTGAAAACATTGTACATTATATATGTTTAAATAAATATATCAGTAATTCCCACCAGGCCTTTATGTAGCCATTAGCATTTGGCAGCTGACTGTGTGTATAAGTGAATAATACCTCAAGAGCAAGGTTGAAAAGTGACCACTGCATGATGTCAATGGATTAATATGTCTGGATCCAACAGCTGATTCTCCTCTCACTTCTGCCGGTGTAAATCAAGAATTAAGTCCCTGAGGTCACTACATATGTTAAATTCATTGGCACACAGAGGCAAAAAGGCACAGGCCATTTTTAAAGAGTGACCGTTTAGATTCCAAACCAAAGAGCAAAAACCATGGAAAAACGTTGGCACTTTGGCAATGTCCTATGGCATTTTATTATGGGAATCTCACCTTCAATGTGAAATTCACACAGGTTTACAGGGCCTCACACAATCTCCCTGCTCTAAAGACAAGGCATTTTGATGAGGAGTGCATAGGGAGCTACGACAGATGAGGCTACGGAGGAGAGGGGAAATTGGGGTCTGTAATGCACATAACAGAGCAAGGCTCTGTGCTGACCCTGCTGCACAGAGGCAAAAGTCTTGGTTAGTAGCTGATCAGAGGAAGAGTCATAAGACACATATGTGCACAAATGCAGCAGGTCAAGTTCTGCTCCTACTTACACCAGTGTAACTTTGGAATTCTTCTACTGATGGCAAGGGAGTGATTGAGGACGGATGTTGCTGTAAGTGGGAATAGTAGATGGTCAATTGGCTTTGTAGGTGTCACATCAAGGGGCTGGAGGTCACTTATCCAGTTCATAGACTGGAGTAGCAAATGCATTCTCTGGCTAAGGGTTGATGGGGTATGCATCACCACCCCAAGTGTACCTCCCACACATTATGGGCTTTATGTGGGTAAAGGCAATTTCTCATTAATTGCTTTTATGTGTTTTATGAACCTGGACAATCATCTTGTGGATGAGTTTTCAAAACCAATAATAACTGACTGTAGCAACGAATGATACACTGGTATTTATACAGCACAGTACGTGCTACCTCATTCATTCAAATGTTGACTTAACCGAAGCACAATAACAGCATCGTGTACCATGAATCGATTGCTCAGTTTAACAACAATCCTCTGTGTGCCAAGGTTTCACTGTATCTCCTGGCACGTAAAGGTGAATGGGACTGGGCTGCAGTTCCATAGGAAAGTAACCTTTTCACTTATAACAATGACAGCACATGCTGGCACTGTATGGATTCCTTATGCTCTCAAGTGACAACAGAATCCCTTCAGTGACTCATCATTGTTCACCTAACCCACAGAGCCTGATCTTCAACCATGGCATTTGCAAAGGGCATAGCCTGGCTAGAATAGATTCTGCCACCCGCACTCGGGTTGAGTACTGTATTACCAAGAAATCAATGGGACCAGCAGCACAGTTAACTGCTAGTCAAAGTGAGTAAAGATGGCAGACTCTGGCTCACAATTCATCCGTCAGAACAGAGCCTGTGCTAGGCATAAGCAAACTAAGCAATGGCTGAGGGACCCAAGAAGATCCAGAGATCCTCCTATTAATTATTAGTATGTGTTGTGTTGTGTCTAGCACTGGCACCATGACCAGACTAAATACAACAAATCTCTTTCTTGGTACTGGCTGTCCAAACCCCCAAAACATTACCCCTGAATGCCTAAGGAAAAAAATATTAGAGAAACAAAACAACCTGTTATAATCAACCCTAACGTTACACTGGAGTCGAATACTCCTCCGACGACATCACTACTCTTCACGTCTGCAGTACAAATTTTGTAGCGGGGTGGAGGACAGGGGGGACAATGTTTCTTCTGAGCCGCTCACTTCTAAAGGGCTGCGAGTGATTCATGTGAAGCTGATATTAGCCATTCCAAAGTAATAGCACTAGGTTGATGTATAATAGTGCTATGCTCTGTCAGATTCGCGTGTCGCATGGCAAGCACCTGACTTAATGTGACTGCCGATGAAAAATGAAGGTGGTGGAACAGTCATTGGTGATAGAGCCTCTCACCTCTCATTCACTGGTTCCTATCCAGGCTCTTAGTGACAGAGTCTTGGTGTCTCTTCTTCATGAAATGAGAGGGCTGACTAAGTCCAGTTCCCGGTAGACAGCACTCCACATTACAAACACCAGCACCACAACCAGACTCCCTTTGTGACAGTCTAAGCAGAGAGGCTAAGGACTGCATGGACACGAGAGACTCCCCCGTGGGTTGGTGCCTCCAAGCCAGAAGCAGTGATGTGTTTGGGCCGTTACGGGGAAACCTCACTCTGCTGCAGCCCAGCCAGCTCGGTAGCTAATGCTAAGCATTTGTTTCCCTGTTCTGTTCACCTGGCATCTTTCAGATGCATTAACTCACTTTAATAACGAAAGGAAAAATCCTGTTAGTGATGGAGCAACGATGGATGGCCTGCCCCCAACGGTCTAACAGATCATTAGAGGAGATGATAGAAGATCACTACAGGATTCTCATTGCAAAATTCACTGAGGTTGATAGTCATGTGAGGAAAATACTTTTGAACAAACTGAGATTTGGAACTGTGGCTTCCAGGGGATTTTCGATGCTGCCTTTTGACATGTTATGACATTTGCACAAGGTGAAGTATCAGAATCAGCTTGTAATTGACACTCAATTTAATCATAAATGTAAGTGGTGCAGGACAAGAGCCTGTATGAAACAGAAATTCTTCCTCCTCGTGGGGCTATTCACTCAGAGCAGCCTCATGATCTACTCAGCAGTCAGAATGTGCAGACAGCTTCTGAAGTGATGCTCTTCATTGACTGCCAATTGAGCACTAAGGCCAACGCAAGTTCAGGGTGAAAAATGGTACTATAAATAATCTGTCAGTGACAGCAGATTATGGCCACGGTGTTTTATCAGTCATTTAGAATAAGAGATCCTCTAAGATGGCAGGCCAAAAGTCTCAAACTGGATGCCTAATGTTCAGGCTTGTGTTTAAAAGCAGCCTCATGTACAGAGGAGCTGAGAACTTCAGCTCCCATTGATTTCCCACCTACCCTACTCTCATCATTGTAGCCTACACTTTGCTGTATATTGCTTTTCCTCCATTGGTGTGTAAATGACACTCGTTTAACATACCCACTGACTCTTTGCATTTATATTCCCTTACAACGTGCACTTGATTTCTATGCCTGATGTGTCATTTATGCTGCCATTAAATTTGGCTCAGAGTCACCAATGGGAGATGCCCCTGCCTCCAGCAGGTCTCAGATTGTTACCTGGGGCTCATAACTAAGGAACTAGTCTCTGTGGCCAAGCTGAAATGAGGAGTAATGGTAGTTCGGACTAGGAAGCCTAGTCCGAACTACCTAGTCCGTGCCGCATGTAGCCGTGCGGCACGGAGTCCGCACTAGCGGACATTTAAAAATGGCGGCGCCCGGCGAGATGCAAATGAAGCCCGGGAAATTCAAATCCCGGGCTTCATTTGCAACTCCGGTTGCCTACATTACCACCCTAGTTTGAACTAGGGTGGTAGTGTAGACATACCCTTAGTTATTCTGAAATAACACTGCTCTGTATACGTGCCCTATGAGACTTATCTTCTGGATGAGCACTGAAAGGATGACCTTTAATTCTACGGGTGTGTGTGTGCAGGAGTCCAGGCAGGGGATGAGTGGCTCAGGGCAGGAGGTGGGGGTGCAGGAGTCAGTGGAGTGCAGAAGTCATGGCAAGGGGGATGGTAGTTGTGGGGAGGCTCTGGGGAAAGGGTGGGAGCTCAGTGCAAGGGGTGGGAGTGGCCAGCGGCTGCTCCCCAGGGCCATCCCAGAGTGATGGGGGCCACACTGCCTGGCCAATGGCTGCTCCCTGGGCCTGTGGTATATCACAGACTTCCTTTCCGTTTGATGAAAAACGGTTGCATTCCAGGTACATCCCGTTGTCCTGACAGAACCAAACCCTGACCTCGCTTTAAGTTATGATAAGAGGAAGCTACCTACCAAATGTGGTGGTCCTAGCTCTTATCTAAACCCTGTCCACATTGCAGCCTTCATCTTTGCTTCCATCTACAAAGCTGCACTCACTGGCTATTATCCGTTCAAAAAACCCTAGTGGTACACAATACTGAATTACAGATCATTTCCACTGCTCACCCAAAACATTGCAGCCTGGCATGTAGTACCGGGTAGACCACGTTCTTTCAAGAATCCGTTGCAAAACAAAGTGATTGCAAGAAGAAACACTCACATAGCTAAATGTTGGAACATAATATGCCAGAGTATACAGAATTAATTGTGGTTATTTCTTATTTGCATCGCAGTAACACCCAGGTGCCCAAGTTTGGAATGAGGCTCTACTGTGCTAGGCACTGCACAAACACATAATAAGAAACCATCTCAGCTCAAAGAGCTGATCCTTGAAATGAAGACAAGAAGCTACTGACAGGTGTAACAATCAGAGACAACAGCACAAGAATTATGAAGCAGAATACAGATAGAAAACAAATGGTAGCTGGTATCAGGTCCCTGAGGGTTTTTTTAAAATAAAAATAAAAAGTGAATACATGATGCAGATAACTGTAGTCCCTACTGCCCATCATCCCAGCCATGGATTTGGTGCCACGGAGAACCAAGTATACTAGAAATGAACTCATGGTCTGACTATCTGAAGCTTTGCTGTATAGCAAGCTGCTTCCTTTGCTAGGGAAATGGCCCTAGAAAAGAACCAGCAATCCATTAGGAAACCCAGGACTCTGTTAGCCTCATTTTCATTGGTCCTCATCACATCTTTAACAGTAGCTGAATCAAAACCCACCTGACTCCAGCCTTCCATTCTCATACTGCTCCAGGTTTTCCAAGGCATTGCTGTAGGGTGGGAAAGGCTGATTACTGAAGAGATTGTCACACAGTAGGCTGCGGCAAAGCTTCTTGAGGAAGCGCAGGACATAGCCAATACTGTTCACTACGGGCAGGCTCAGGAGGTGCTGCTTCCCGTCAAAAGAAGCAGAAACTGGAAAGCAAGAGAGAACAATTCAGTACACTCCACAGTGCACAGGAGCAAAACAGCTGGAGAATCTTTTTAATGGATAATGAAAATGGCTCTATGGAACGCTTGTTTTGGTGGCACAGAATAGTTCCCATAGAGAGGGATCCAAACCACAACCCTAGATCCAGATACTTCAGGGGAACTTCGGGGGATTTTGCAGCTGGCCCTGACCTCTGTAATGGCCTAAACTCCTAGCTTAGTCTTGCCAGGACTTTGATGAAGATCAGATCTGAAAATGATCTTTGTGTGCTTGAAGTAGCAGAAAGTGTGTATGCAGGGGGTGGGGAGTGATTGGGAAGCATATGAAGAAAATATTTATGTAAAGCGTTAGGCTGGAAGGAGAAGTCGACACCCTGAAATGATATTGGAGTCTCACTCAACTTCTTGTGAGAAGGAGGCAAGTGGGTGGTGAGGAAATGGGAAGCACTTTCTGGATAAGTGATAAGTCTCCTAGGGTATGTCTACACTACAGCACTAATTCAAACTAACAATTTGAATTAGTTCATTCTAACTAAGCTAATTCGAACTAGTGTATCTAGACCTAAAAACTAGTTTGAATTAGTGTTTTGCTAATTCAAACTAGCATGTCCACACTGAGTGGACCCTGAACCGAAGTTAAGGCTGGCCGGAAGCAGTGCCGGCAGGGCATCAGGTTAGGACTTAGAGCATGGAGTTGCTGTATCAGGCTAGCCGAGGGCTGTGCTTAAAGGGACCCGACCCCCAACCCGGACAGACAGTTCTCAGAGTTACCCACTTACTTGTGTACCTCAATCAGGGACAGCAAAGCAGTCCTGACTTGGAGTGCCCTGAGTGCCCACACTCGGCACATCACAGCACTCGGCCATCAGCCCTGCTGCACTTGCCTCAGGCTGCCATCCGGGGGGGTCACTCGGGGGGGGCTGCAGGAGAGCTTCCAGCCCGAGGAGCCCGCAGAGCCACTCCAGTCCTCCCCATCGGGGGCTCGTACCCCATTCCTCCCTCACCTCCTTCCACTTACTCCTCCCTAGCCCCCCTTCCTGATGTAAAAAATAAAGGATACGTGTGTTCAAAAATAGAAACTCTTTTTATTTAACAAAACCGGGGGTGGAGGGAGACTAACCTCTGGGGAGACTGGGAAAAGGAGGTGGAAGAGGGGAAGAGAGAGGGTGGGAGAGGGGAGGGAGAAACCTGGGAGGAGGGAGCTGGAAGGGGGAAGCCAGGGGAAAAAGGAGGAGGGGAAGTATCAAACTATGGTACACCATATCTTCAGTACTGTGTACAGATGTGATCTCCGCACCCCAGAAAAGATATTTTGGCCTTGGAAAGGGTTCCGAAAAGGGCAACTAAAATGATCAGGGGTTTGGAACAGGTCCCATATGAAGAGAGGCTAAAAAGACTGGGACTTTTCAGCTTAGAAAAGAGGAGACTGAG